CGCGTAGACCGGGCTTGTGTGCTCGCAAGCCCGAGCCCGGCTCTTCCACAGGCAAGTGCCTGCGACTCCGCGCAGCCTTGATCTCCATTCTGCTGCTGCCCAAGCTCACCCCTCCCGGCGCCCCACCTCTCCCTGCCCTTCGCAGGCCACGGTCAGAGCAAAGCACACCGCACACAAACATCTTACTCCTGATTCATCCAAGCGCCTGCGGAGAGGGAACACTTCTCTCACTTGGATAAAGAGAAATCACAGTTGCACCAAGGATATTTCAATATCTCCACTTACCAACCTCAAAAACAAACCCTAGCCCTGTAAAAAGCTCTCGGGGTCCTGGGGAATAGAGACGGAAGGGTAGCTAAAGTTTATGAGAGCGTCAACTAAAATCAGCCAGAATGTCTGCCCGGTGCCAATTAAGAGCAAAATGGAATTAATTCTCTCGTCTCGTGGTCAAAAACAAGCTCTGTGAAATGCACGGGATCGGCAGTTCATTTTTAGTTTTAAAATGGGACGTGCCATTCACAAACCCTGGATTCACAGACACCACCCAGGCAGCGCGGAATTGCTGTGGAGGGCTTCCAGAGAATAGGAGCGACGGGACTTCAGTTACTTGGGGAGAAAACACATACATCAGACACACGCAGAGGAGCCATTTCAAAACACTTGCCCAGAGCTGCCTAGCACGAGGCTGGGGTAATGACTTAGGGGCCAGGGAATGGTGAGCCCAGACTGTCCGCTTTCCTAGTGACTGCATGGGCTCCAGTCAAATGGCTGCGATCTGTGAACTAAAAAGTAAAGCTTATTATCAAGAATCCATGTGGTTAGTATGGGATTATAAATAATACGGAATCCTTAGAGAAATGGCACGGACAAGACAAGGGGAGCCACAGGGACTGCTTTAAATTGTTGATCAATACAAAATAAATGCACCTGCTTTTAAAAAAAATTTTGCCGTAGTACTCTGAGGAAAGACTAGATCAAAATTACCATGTGGTTTAATTATTTTAGAGACTGAACTTCCACAATGATGACAATTTTAGAAAGCTCAGAAAATTCCAAGATTTTCCTCCCCTCAAAAAGCACAGGAAAAATTATTTACCCCAGAAGTTTAGGATCAGGGGCACATTGGCACGCTCCTGGAGGGCTCCCAGAAGGCTTAGTCAGTTTATAATCTTTGTTGAAAAAGAAACACTCTGAGCCCCTCAAGTTCTATAGGTGAATTCAAAGCAAGAGGTAATGTCAAGATCGAATGTTACATTTTATATGAATTTTGAAAATTAGCATAAGCTTCATGGAGGGAGACAGCGAGAAAAGAGACTCAGTGGACAAGAAATTAAGAGTAAACAAGCAACCAAATACACCTTAAAATCACAGGTTAGCCTATCAGCCTTGAGGGATACACAAAACGAATACTTTGAAACTTCGGCGCCTCTTAGAAGTCTCAACAATAATAAGCAACAATTATTTGAGTGTTTACGATGTCCAGCCCTTAGTTTTGGGTCCACTTGAAAAGTTACAGTAGACGCCTCTTCTAATTCTTCACATTTACAAAACAAGGCATCAGAGCAGAACATGAAATACAACCAGACCTGCATTTCCCTGATCCTCCTTTGCCTTTTAAAAAGTATTTCCTTGTACTATAGGCTTTGTGTCTGCCAGAACAGCACTCAGACCCTCCCTGGAAAAGACAACAGTGGCTTCATCAAAGTCAGATCCAAATCACCCCTGACAAGAGACTTGCAACAACGCCATTGGCTACAGTTATATTTCTACGATCGAGCAGCGTGCCAGGTGCTTTACATATGTATGTCTGTATATATGGGTACCCGTATCTCTCTATATATATTTCTGATTCCCATAACAGCCCTATAACATGATTTTAGAAATGTTTTTCAGATGGAGAAACTGAGGTTTAGAGAGATTAGGCAATGTACCCAAGGTCATGAAGCCCAGGGGCAGAGTGAGACTCAAACCTAGCTCTTTCTGAATTCCAAAGTGGTTTTTGCTGCACACTGCCTGTCCTCACAAAGGAACGGGTTGGAACCAGAGTCAGATCAGGATATGGGGGCATGAAACCACTCTTGTTTCATTCATTCAGTCAATAAATACATGCTGCATGCCATCTGTGTGTCACATATAAAGGAACACACCCTATTGACAAAGTAGTGGTCGTGAACTGGAGGCATCCTAAGCAAAAGGAGGGGAGAGGGGCTGGGGTTCACTTTCACTGGATCAGTACAAGGTGAAGGAACAGATCTAGAGCAGGACAAAGGGGACCCGGGGCACAGGGCACAAAATGACCCAGGGTCACAGGTTTACCCTCACATGACAAGCACGCCTACATCTCCATAGGAATTTTTTTTTAAGGTTTTATTTATTTTGAGAAATAGAAAGCACATGTGTGTGAGCGAGTGAGGGGCAGAGAGAGAGAGAGAGAGAGAGAGAGAGAGAATCCCAAGCAGGCTCCACGCTGTCGCTGCAGAACCTAATGCAGAGCTGGAACTCACAAACCAACCCTGAGATCATGACCTGAGCTGAAGTCGGATACTTAACCAAGTGAGCCACCCAGGCGCCCCAGTCCATGGGGATTTAAAGATTAATTTGCCTTTCCCAAACTTTCTTATCATAACGACTTTGGCCTGGATTTTCTTTGGTACTAGATGTGAAATATACTTCTCATAAGAAAGATCATAGGCTTTGGAACTAGAAATATCAAAGATAGAACTCAAGCTCCGCACTTCCTAGCTAATTCAAGAGCCCGAGTGTGGAGTCCCTCATCTGTAAAAGAAGATAATAATTCCTGTCCCAAGTTGTAAGGATTAAGTAGTATATACCAAGCATATAGCACCTCCTCCTTTTTTTAATGTTTATTTTATTTTTGAGAGAGAGGGAGAGAGAGAGAGCATGAAGCATGGGTGGGGGAGGGGCAGAAAGAGAGGGAGACACAGAATCTGAAGCAGGCTCCAGGCTCTGAGCTTCTTAGCACAGAGCCCGATGCGGGGCTTGAACCCACAAACTGCAAGATTGTGACCTGAGCTGAAGTCGGACGCTTAACAGACTGAGCCGGTGTCCCCAGTCACAAAGCAATATTATGATAACATAATCTTTCAAGTCCTAGATCAATGCAATTCTTTCTTAAATTACATGATCCAGTTTGTTGTTGTTTATATCTTCTAACAGATTACTTACTTTTGGGTTTATGTGAGGCAAATTAAATATTTCTAGTTAGCCATAAGTACTGTTGATATGAGAGTCTCTTCTATGACAAAGTCATTTGGGTTCCTTTGTCAAACTTCCTGAAAATATCTGGCATTTGGGCACCTGAGCTTCTTCTCCGACCCAAACAAGATATCTAATTAGTATTTGCTAAGAAGGTGCGTGTGTCAGAGCACGTCCTAGGGGCTTTATGGGAGCCTCTGTCTTTCTGTGAGCAGAAAGAACGGGGTTCCTAAGCCTTCTGATTCCCCCAAGAGATTCAGGGATGGGGATTCCATCAGCTAAGCCACCTCATTGAGGCAGGAATGCAAGATGGGACTCAGGGTCCTCCTCAGATGTGCTCTGATCCTCCCAGAAATTCTTTCTGAATGAGATTCCTAAGTCAGGAGTTTGTTTGCTGACCACTACCACTTGCTCCATGTAGATCTAAGTGCGCTTCAGAAAAATACAGAAGAGATCTACAGGTTATTTTTCCATTAGGTTGTATTTTCTTTTTTCTTTTTTTTTTTTTTTTAAATGAGCTGCTCCTGTAAGACAGCAGCTTTTTTTTTTTTTTAATGTTTTTTTTTTTTTTATTTATTTCTAAGCATACATGCAGGTGCACAAGTTGGGGAGGAGCAGAGAGAGGGGGACAGAGGATTTAAATTTATTTCTAGGAGAGAGAGAGAGAGAGACAGCGTGAGCAGGGGAGAGTCAGAGAGAGAGGGAGTGACAGACTCCGAAACAGGCTCCAGGCTCTGAGCTGGCAGTCAGCAGAGAGCCCGATGCGGGGCTCGAACCCACGAACCACAAGATCATGACCTAAGCGAAAGTCGGACGCTTAACCGACTAAGCCACCCAGGTGCCCCTCATTATGTTGTATTTTCATGTGATATCTGACAGCTATTTAGTTATATGAATAATGTCTTTCATAGTTCAGTTCAAAGTGACTCTGTCCAACATCATTCATTTACGAGAGGAAACAACAGTTCAAGCAGGTCAAATAAATTTGTCAGAGATTACAGTTACTTTCACGCTGGGATGAAAATTCAGGTTTTTTACACTTTAGAGTATAAAATAATTCATTCACTAAAATGATCTGATTAGAAAATGTGCCAAAAATAATTAAGATCTCAATCAAGGTATTTTATAAAAGAGTGGTATACCAGGGTGGCTGTCTGGCTCAGTCAGTCGAACACAAGACTCTTAATTTCAAGGTGGTGAGTTTGAGCCCCACACTGGGCATGGAGCCTACTAGAAACCAAACAAGAACAGTGTACCTACAAAATGAAGGATAGCTGTCCTAGTAAAACAATTTTAGGGAAATGAAAGGAGGGTTTGGGTTTACGTATTTTAAAGGATTACCTACTTTCACTGTTATATATACACATCTCATCCATTACCGTTTGACCTAAAGATCGCTTCCATGCGTTCATGGAGAATTGTGATAACAGATTAAAACATGAACTGTTTTAACATAAGACCTTCCAACTGTTTCACTTATTCTAATCCTTTATTAGGATACCTGTCATCTTGACCTTTGTGTTCTGAAGTTTCATAGCTGTCAATTTTGGGCGCTCAAAAAGTCAAATAATAGTATGTACACATAATCATGAAAACACACCAGGGTGTCTTTATGGACAATCAAGAAGATGTTCATTCAGAGAAAATATTTTCACAGGAAATATATCAACATATATCTGATTTTGACGTTAGACTCTAAAATAGTGGCAATGCTGTTTTTTAAGGAAACAAACGACAGTATTCACACAAACAGTGCTCTGAAAATATTGTATCATATTACCTACCTGCTTTTTTGGGAGATTTGTTCCAGTCTCTTGACTAATGCACAGCACTCTTCCTTTAACTTTGTCAAAACTATATTCTGGGAGGTCATCAGTGAATACTGTTCGCTTTCTAGAAATAACAAGAAACCCCCCACCAACATAAGATGTTTGTGGTTGTGACAGCACGCTTCCATATGTAGAGTGGTAAAGGTGCTAAGTTCCTATAAGTCCATTTCCTATAAGCCCCTAGGTCAATTTCAATGTCCTAAGTCGAAGGACCAGTCACCTGGCGAGGTGCTAAATCTTGGGAGGCATTAATTTTTCTAATAATGACATACCAGAAACATTTTTTATCATGCCAGCTTGGGGTAACGTTTCAACATGCTGATAAACTGTCAGATGCCTCATTGGAATAATAGGTGTTACATCTTTGTAATATGCAAGATACTATATTTTTATTTTGACAACTGTACTACAAACAGAGTGTCAAGAATGATCACGACTAGGTAATTCAAAACTAAAATAACCAAGGAACTCTCTTCTGTACTGTTAACTCCTGCTTTGAGTTTCATATTCACTCATATATTTCCCTACCCCACCCCTGGTATATACTTCTTTTATTATGAAGGTGAAATACATAATATTATATGAATTCACCTAGAATTCAGATTTCATTGTCAACAGTATGAGTTTCAAGGAAGATCTGGTCAAAGGAATTGAAGAGGGTGTGATATTTTTGTGCAAAATAAAAGGGAGTGCTCTTAAGGTGGTTTTAACAGTTCAATACTCTCACGTAGCGCTCAGAGGTTCTGCCCAAGACTCCTCGATCGCCAGAATCCTGAGAGCAGGAGGGACAAACACTAATTTTTCCTCAAATTTCCTCCTTTTATTTTTAGTGGAAAAACACCCATTGAATCTGGAAAGTGCTGGAGGGACTCATGTGAGTCAGTATGACATTGGCCTCTTTGTCAGCAAATTGACGATTTAGGGAATTTTACGTGACCGATTTTCCACCTACGGGATAAGCAATAATTTTTTCGCATGTCGTCAAATGCAGTGCATGTGAAATCATGTGCGAATTTAAGTGTAAGCTTTACTAAGTCCCTTTATTTCTTTTCAGTGTTAGCTATTGATTGGCAAAAAAAGCATGCATCATCCACAGCAAAATAAATCAAGGCACTAAAAATCAGGCAACACTTTTCTGGAAGAGACGGGATCAATTAAACTTTTGTTTTTAATAGTACAATCAGCCTGGAGTATGTGGTGCGGAATTATAATGACTGCCACTGTCTTGTTTTGACTAACACTGTCCGTGAACACAACTCCAAAGTGAAAGGAACCACATAATGCTCCGACTGAACACATCAAACCGCCTGCTTGGAAAGTGTATTTTACTTTCAAATGCAAGGTAAAGAGTTACTGGCCAACTCAGTCTGCAGAATCGCGCCAACGTGATGAAAGATGGCGATTTTTAGCCAAGCCGCCAGCTGTGGTCAATGCCTTGTATTAGTGAATTTCCCCAGCAGTTTGAGAACTTGAAGAATGTGAAGGATTAAACATCGCTCTAGACGGGGCTGGGGGGTGGGGGGTTGGGGGAGGTGGGGACATCATACAAATGCTAAAAATGTTCGAAGCTGCAAAGATTAAATAAAGGAACATATCAATTTGGAGCCACTGAATTACATCCAGCTGCGACAGTGAATTAAGAACCGATTAATGGCTAAAGCTTTTCTCCAGTTTGGATGCTGAAGCAAACTCATTAGGCTTTTAGAGTCGCTATAATGTGTGTACTGTGGGAACTGTTCAGTGCTATTCAGGAGACTCTAACTGTAAGCTCAGAGCATTTCCCGCAGTGCTTCTGATGCTATTTTCTTTATATAACATGTGTGCCTGAAAACCCAGCCAAAAACAAGCCCTTTGTTTTTCTACTTTGTTGTGGTCTCTCTCAGCTTTACGTTTCTTGAACACAGGTAAATAAACTCATAATCCAGATGGTGCAACAGATGTGAGAGCAGCACTCTGAAATCAACAGACAGTGGGCAATACTTTCCGTTTTCTCTTTTAAACGCTAACTAATATGTAATTCGGAATCTCCGGTGTAGTTAGCATCTGCTCCCTTCGGCCAGCCAAAGGTTACAGGTGTTCCTGATGTCGTTTCACAGTAAGGCGTGGGCCTGGCTTGTGAGCAAGTGCCCGGGCTCTAATCTTTCCCTACCACCTACCAGTTTTGTCATGCTGGGTCTCCATTTGCTGTATCTTCTGTGTCAGCTCCTGCTCTCTTTGCTGGGCCTGAAGGGCTTGGGCCTTTGCTTCGTTGCTAAGGCTCTGCTGAATGCTATCTTTTTCCAGTCTACAAAGCAGAGAGGAGACAGACAGAAATTTAATCTACAGATGCACGGAGCCCCATCACGCCCCTCCAGACCACAGAGAGCTGACACTGTGGTCGATTGTTAAGCGTAAGAAGACAACAATCTTTGTCAGCCTCCTCCCCCACCCCCTGCCTCCACCCCTCCTGGGGTGGGGAGAAGATCCAAAGGACCCTTCATACTGAGGTTAACACATGCCAAAAATCTAAATGAACTCAAGGACGCAACTTTAAAAATAAAAAAAAAATCGTGATACAGGAGTATTGGGGTTTGTAGCTTTAAAACACAAATCTCCTTTTCTGTAAGCCTGTCAACATTCTGTGGTATCAATTCACGTTTTATCTTTGGGATGGTATTTCCTAAAGATCTTACGGTTCTGGGAAGAACATGATTCAATCCTTTGAACCCTAAGCTCTCGAAACGAAGCTTCGGAGACCACCTCTGGCTTACCACCCCCCTCCCCCCAGCTTAAATGGAATCTCGGACATGATGCAGGAGATTCGATCTAGAACTAGAAGGAAGGAAACGGTGGCACATGCAAGCAAGAATCTGTGGTACCACAGGCGCCTGGGTGGCTTAGTGGGTTAAGCGTCCGACTTTCGCTTAGGTCATGATCTCGCGGTTCGTGGATTTGAGCCCCGCGTCAGGCTCTGTGCTGACTGCCAGCTCAGAGCCTGGAGCCTGTTTCAGTCTGTGACTCCCTCTCTCTCTGACCCTCCCCTGCTCACGCTGTCTCTCTCTCTCCTAGAAATAAATAAAACATTAATAAATAAATAAATAAAGAGAAAGATTAAAAAAAAAAATCCATGGTACCACATGCATGTTTTCGCTCAATGTTCTCACACAGTAGGCCACATAACGTGAATCGGAAAGTGAATATGAAGATGAACGACTTCCCCTAGCGCGTCATTGTAAGGCCCCATTGGGGTCCCGCTGAAAGAAATGGCAAAATGAGGATATTCCCATGGTCCAAGACAATGTCCCACCCCGCTGTGACGGAATACTGACCCAGGGAGATGGGTCAGGCCACTGAGTCTAATATCCCGTCACCATGGCCCTTAAAGAAAGAGGCTGCCTAAACAATTAGAAGCTGACGAACACATGGGTTCCTCGTCGCTGGCGGCACCACACACACGCACATTAGGTTGGTTCCTCATCCTCTAAATGTGGGTAAGTGAAATGAGGGTTTCCTTTAATTAACTGACTTAGTTATTTCTAACTCCTTATCTCCTTGTGGGCATTTCTCATCCGTGCTGTTTTAGTTTACTAATTGAGATATTTACTGCCTTGCCTTTGCCAAACTAAAAATAAACAATTCCATAAAGCTATCACTAGTAGTCTACATACCGCTGTGGAGCTTCAATTCATTGGCTTCTAATTATAAAGCAACATAAGGAAAGTCTGCGTTGAAATTGGTCAATGCACGCAGGAATGTTGTAGTGGAAAATTTCAGGAGGAAACTACACCCATATCTCACTCAAATGGAATCATCAGGAGTCCACGCTAAATGTGAAATAAGGTCCCTTCTGGTGCTTCTAATAACAACACCCCTTTGGATTTGCTCCAAGGTCTTGCCTCACACTCAGTTCCAAACTGGTATATTGCAACAAATAGATAGACTAAGCCACTTTCTGCCTCCCCAGTCACACCATGTATTTTCTGCCCCTGGATCATTGCATATGTCTCTTTGTTTTCCTGGGAGGTCTCTCCCTGTCCTGTTCCATGCCACCCACCCCCACCCTGTCTCTCTGTTCAGTGTATACTGCTCTTTGAGGTCTCCTCAAAATTCTCCCCCTCTCCTTCCATTCTCTCTTAAATTAATTATCCTTTCCCCTGTAACCTATATAGATGTTGCAAATGTATATGTCCTATAAGATAGCATTTGGCACACTTGAGTTACTGGTTTACATGCCAATCTTTGTCATCTTGGTCTCTCTCAACCCTGAACCCCACTCAATACTTGGCACATGAGAAGTAGGCTGTGAACGCTTAATGAACAGGGGGGAAGGGTGGATGCAGCCTTTAGTGAGGTTGGAGAATCGGCTCAAGTCTCATATGAGGAGGCAAAAACTTCAGACATGTTAAAAAAGAAGAGTGCCTGGAAGAGAATGGCTCTAGTGGCTTTGCCAACTGGAGACCGTGCTGCTGAAGGAATCGGCCAAAAAATAGCACTACGGAACCACTCCTTGGTCAGACCCTTGGTTACGGGTAGAGAGACCTTGGGCTCTGAGACCCCTAATAATTGGTAGCCATACAATGCACTGCTCAAAACCAAGACCCATGTGAGAGTGAAAAGATGTACTATTATTACCTCGAGACAACAGTCATAGCTGGGGCTACCCTTTGCAAACTGGGGCTATGGGTCCTCTCCGTAAAGACGTCGCCAGTCTCAACATCAATTTTTAGCAGAAGCTGCCTAATTACTGATATTCTAAATTCTAAACGAGAGACAAATAACTACCTTTACTTCAGTTCTTCCAAAATGAGCCAATTTAAAAGAGCGCTCTACCAACAGACGTTGAGCCACTCATCAACTTTTGTTCCTTGACTCCTTCCCCAATTTTCACTCTTTTTAAGAAACTACATGGTATTTTATTATTTTTAATTGAGGTATAATTGACATATAACAGATTCGTTTCTGGTGTAAAACATATTTGATATTTTTACATAGTGCAGAATGATCACAATAAGCTGAGTGAACATTTCTTTTCATTGCATAAAACACAGCTTATCTTTACTTGCCTATTTCTTCCCTCCAGCCCCTTTGCTCCTATACTGGAGCCCCTTCTCCCCTTGCAGGTGCTTTCTGACTTAGGAGGCCTTTTATAAAATCTTCAGATGCTAGAACTGAAAGGGAATCTCAAATCTGTTTGTGTGTTTGTTTATTTAAAGTTTATTCATTTTGAGAGAGAGAAAGAGAGAAGACCACACGAGTAGGGGAGGGAAAGAGAGAGAGAGGGAGACAGACTAAATCCCAAGCAGATTCCGCACTTCCAGTAAAGAGCCCGATGTGCGGCTCCAACCCACGAACCACGAGATCATGACCTGAACCGAAGTCAAGAGCCGGCTGCTTAACCAACTGAGCCACCCAAGCACCCCTCAAATCTGTTTATTCAAATCTGCTCACATTATAGCTGAAAAAAAGAAATCTGCTCAAAGGTTATATTGTAAGTGGTGTGAAGGCAGAGATGGGATTTGAAATACAGGAGAACCTTGGATTGCCAGTAGCTTGTTCTATGAGGGTTCCACAAGACGAGCAAACATTTCTAATAAATTTTAACTTGATAAACCAGCGGTGTTTTGCAATATGAGTATTACGTGATGCTGAATGTCACATGATCAAAACTGAGTCAATGGTTCTTGAAATTCACTTTGACATATAAGTGCTTTGGATTACAAGCATGTTTCAGGGATGAATTATGCTTCCAAACCAACGTTTTACTGTATTCTGATTTAAGGAAGCCTATTTTATGACACTGCAGAGGTAATGCAATAATATATTGAAAGAATAATAAAAACCGCTGACACAGGCAAGGGAGGGATCAGAGAAGAATCTGAATCAATTCATTTAATAGTTATCATAACCCTATAACGTGAAAGACACTGCTAGGCACTGAGTCAAATAAAGATAAATATGGCATAGTCCTTGCTCCTAACAGGGAATTCAAAATGGCTAACATAGAAAGTAGAGGGTGTGATACACCATAAGCAAGCTACAAGGGAAAAACTCCCAAGGCAGAGAAAGTGAGAGGTTAATCCCAGCTGGGTGTGAGAGCATCAAGAAGGGTAGCTGAGCTGGTTTTCTTTCAGTTCTCATTAGAAACACTGTTGATTTCACTCAATCCAACATGTCGTTAGCAATATTTTTAAATTGGAAAGCAAGGGCAGTAAAGAAGAATTTCTTGGTTGTTATTAAAATGAGGCTGGGGGTGCCTGGGTGGCTCAGTTGGTTAAGCATCTGACTCCTTTTATTTCTTATAATTTTTTAAATGTTTATTATTTTTGAGAGACAAAGTGCAAGCAGGGGAGAGGCAGAGAGTGAGGGAGACACAGAATCCGAAGCAGGCTCCAGGCTCTGAGCTGTCAGCAGAGCCTGACATGGGGCTTGAACTCATGAACCGTGAGATCATGACCTGAGCTGAAGTCGGACAAGCTTAATCAACTGAGCCACGCGGGTGTCCCAAGGGTCCAACTCTTGATCTAGGCTCAGGTCTTGATCTCATGCTTCGTGAGATCAAGCCCCACATCAGGCTCTGTGCTGATAGCATGAACCTGCTTGGGGATTCTCTCATTCTCCCTCTCTCTCGGCCCTTTCTCCACGCGTGTGCTCTCTCTCTAAATAAATACACATTTTTTTTAAAATGTGGCTGAAAGGTTTATTCATAATATCTAAAAATTGGAAACCTAAGTGCCCATTAACTGCTAAATGGATAAACATATTGTGGTGTGACCTTACAATGGGGAATGAGGAAGAAGAGAAATAAGAAGGACCAGGCTATGGTATGTGTAACACATGGGGGAGCGTCAAGAGCAGTATGCTTGGTTAAAGAAGCCAGACACCAAAAACATATTGTGTGACTTCATTTACATGACATTTTAGGAAAGTAAACACTACAGGACACGTCAGTGCTGCCAGGACCTAAGGATCAGGGAGGGGTGTGAGGGAACAAAGGATGGAAATTTGAGGTTGATACTAGTGTTCTCTATCATGATTACAATGGTCTCACATCTGTGTACATTTGTCAAAGTATACTTCATTACACACCTACAACTGGTGATTGTTGGGGCTCCTGGGTGGCTCAGTCGGTTAAGCATCCGACTTTGGCTCAGGTCATGATCTCATGGTTCATAGGTTCGAGCCCCACGTCGGGCTCTGTGCTGACAGCTCAGTGCCTGAAGCCTGTTTCGGATTCTGTATCTCCCTCTCTCTCTGACCCTCCCCTGCTCATGCCCTCTCTCTCTCTCTCAGAAACAAATAAAACAT